CCTTATGTTCATGTCTCTTGTCTCCAACTCACAAACAGAGCGGAGAAGGAGTGGGGAGACGGAATAAGAGGACTGTCCCTTAGCGCTGCACGTTACGCCCTGCTGAGACTGGAGGTTGGACCCCCACACACCAAGAACTGGAGGTACAGCTACCTGCAAAATACTATAAAAGGGTTTTTCACAGCACAGGGCATCCCACATTGTCCCCCCTTGAGACTAAACAATGGTTCACATTGTTAAGCAGTCAATTTAATAAAAAAAAAAAAACATCAGATGGAAAAAGCTGCATGTTTTCAAAAAAATCCAGTCAGTGGTATTAAACAAATGTTCATCCACCCACTACAATAATGGTCTTGGAGAATGATGATGCTGATATTAAAAAAATGATCAATATACGATGTATTTACTACCAGTCCTGGTCAATATCGATCCACAATGAGTAAATGCCATCTGTTATGTATTTACTGTTTTGGAGGTTTGGGCCAATCATTTTTTATAATTCTATCATTGTTGTTTGGCCTTTCTACTGAGATCGATGCTTATAATCCACTCGTTTTAAATGTGATGACACTGACTAAACTTGGGTAGTCTTGAACATTTAGATAGTGGAACGAAGAATAGAATGCAGGCAGTATGTCAACAATATGTAAAGTAAGAACTGAAACTGACTTTTTTTTTAACACCGGGACAAATTTGGTAGAGATGAGACAAGAGTTATCGTATATATTTAGGCCACGTATATTTTGTCTGCACAGCATCTGTTACTTTGTTTCATTTCATTATGAAGTTAGGACCGCTATTAAGATGACCTAACAAGCTACACGTATACAGCAGATGTGTTTTTATATCAAAACTATATGATTGCTGCTTGACACCAGTTTTTATCACCATACCCTCAATGACTAATGACCATTTAGTAAATATTGTTTTGGTAGATGAATACATGCATCATCTTTCAACAGGGATGCAAAGACAAGCCTTTTGATCCGGACCTTTTAGCTCCCATTGAGTGTCTCTGGCTCTTCTCCACCACAGACCTCAGCTGCTTGTGCTGTTGAAGCTCGATGAGGACCTCCATGTGAAATATCCTCGTCTGCTCACCTTCGCCTCGCAGCTGAAGGCGGGAAAGGGTCTGACCATCGTCGGCTCCGTCGTCCGGGGCAACTTCCTGGACAGCTACGGGGAAATGCAGGCAGCTGAGCAGGTAACTCCTAGAAAGGGGTGTGCTGGCCGTGCTCTTTACAATGACCACCTTTTGTGATGTGAAAAGCACAATGAAGCCAGTAGTGGATTTACGATGAAGGTATTGTCCTTTTTAAAGTATTTAGTATGGTTTGTACCAAATATGGATGAGCTGCTTACTCCTTTTTGTGCTCATAGACTTTACAATTTTTCCCTCCAGGCCATTAAGAACATGATGGAGATTGAACGAGTCAAAGGTTTCTGCCAGATTGTGGTGGCTTCTAAGGTGCGTGAGGGGATTGTCCACCTGATCCAGTCCTGTGGTCTGGGGGGCATGAAGCACAACACTGTGATGATGGGCTGGCCTTACGGATGGAGACAGAGCGAAGACCCTCGTGCCTGGAAGACTTTTATAAGTAAGAATTGCACTGAAATACTGTACAGGACAACTTAAACGGGCCAATCAGCATCTGCAGTATAGCACCCTTATCAAGTGACTGCCATACAAAACCAATGGCATAATGTCTACAGGTATTCCAGTATGTTGTTGTCAAAGTTAAATGCCAGCTCACTATTGTGGATTTAAAGATGGAGCAATAGTGGGGGTTCAAAAAGCTCTTTTGCATATACAATTTCAATTATATTTTGTGTTTGTTACTGTTTGCCCTCTGCATAATGTTAAGCTGTTGGAAAATGAATGTATACAGTGGAGTTAATCCCCATGACTCCACATCTCCCCTCTACTCAGACACAGTTCGCTGCACCACAGCTGCCCACCTGGCCCTGATGGTGCCCAAAAATGTGTCCTTCTACCCGAGCAACCACGAGCGCTTCACAGATGGCAACATCGACGTTTGGTGGATCGTCCATGATGGGGGGATGCTAATGCTGCTGCCTTTCCTCCTAAAACTCCACAAAGTGAGACTGCAGATCTCTTTGAGCTCCAGTCCAATATGCTACTTCATATGTAAACATTCCTTTCAAACTGTCAATATAACATTTTTTATTATTATTATTTATGTGACTCCAGGGTGTGTTTCCTGAAAGCAATCCTAGTCGCATGGCGTTACCTTATGGCTGTATTTGCCTATTTGGATAGGTTTGGAGGAAATGCAAGATGCGTATTTTCACTGTAGCCCAGATGGATGACAACAGCATCCAGATGAAGAAAGATCTGGCCATGTTCCTGTACCAGCTGAGAATAGAGGCTGAGGTGGAGGTGGTGGAGATGGTGAGGATCCCTCACACACGACCATAATTCTGCGCCAAAGTGAAGACTTTCTTGAGGGTTTTTATGGCTAAAGCCAGAACAAAATGATGCATCTTAGTGAAAAAAACAGATGCTCATTATAGCAAGATACCGCAGGTGCGATTGTTTCATACAAAATGTACTTGTGATTTACTCCCATTTCATTGCCACTCCGTCCATGTTCAGCGGAGATGTACGTTTACGATGGACTGACCACTAAAACCTTGTTTTTCAAATTGTAGCATGACAGTGACATCTCAGCATACACCTATGAGAGAACATTAATGATGGAGCAGAGGTCCCAGATGTTGAGGCAAATGAGGCTGTCCAGTGCCGAAAGAGAAAGAGAGGTATGTTTTTTTGTGTGTGTGCGTGTAAAATGTATTCTTGAAATTCTTGGAAAATTGTCACTCGACACCGGTGTAAAAAACAAGACATTTAATGTTTGCAAGCAGAGAGACACATATACAGGTCATGTGCCAAGCCTACTCAAAGATCTTCATCTTCAGAGCAGAAATATATAGTTATATAAACATGCTATAACGGGAGGGGAACTCTGGGCAAAACCCAGGTGCTGGTAGTCGACCTCGGATGTAGATGATCGTCTTTTGCGCCACAAGATTATAAACAACGATACACAAACATCTTGATAATCAGATGACCCAGAACACCATGTGCCTCCTTGTGAAAGAGAACAGACTCTCTGACGTACCAAGGTGGAACATTATTGCAGTTTTTTCAACAGTTCTTGAAATATTGTAGAAAAATAATAAAAACATACCGCACAAAGAAATACAGAGAGACTGCTGCGTTTCATGTTGTGAATTTAACCTGCTCTACTCTAACTCAACTGTTTTATGACACCGTTTTAGTTACACACAGTATGTTAAGAGCCTCCTTATATTCCCAATGGCCACTGCAGGCCCAGCTGGTTAAGGACAGACACTCCCTGGTGCGCATGGGAAGTCTGTACTCCGACGAGGAGGAGGAAGTGGTGGAAGCTCCCCCAGAGAAGGTTCACATGACATGGACAAGAGAGAAGTGTGAGGCTGAGAAGAGGAACCGAAGCAATGCACCCGAGAACTTCAGAGAACTCATGAGCCTCAAACCGTGAGTTGCCAGTCGACGCTTGCTTTTAAAATTCTAAAAAACTAAACAGAGTTTCTTTGAGCAAAAACACGATTTTCTCCTCGGTCTCGCCTTCTTGTGGACTCTAGAGATCAATCCAATGTGCGGCGAATGCATACGGCGGTAAAGCTGAACGAGGTGATAGTCAACAGGTCCCATGATGCTCGACTAGTGCTGCTCAACATGCCGGGGCCGCCTCGAGACACCGACGGAGATGAGAACTGTATCCTTTTAACAATATGGAATAACAAAATTCCATAACAAAAAAGACTATTTTGTGTTGCAGTACACGTACCAAGTGTACTTCGGCTGGTTTTACTTAACGTGTATTCCAGACATGGAGTTTCTGGAGGTGCTGACTGAAGGTTTGGAAAGAGTGCTGCTGGTCCGAGGCGGAGGTCGGGAGGTCATCACCATTTACTCGTGATCAATTATAAGCTGCAGTAAGAAGTATCTGCCTTTTTATAAGAATGCATTCCACCTGTAGAAAGGATGCAGCACCTACTGGTTACACGCAATGATTTGTCACTTCAGTACAAAAGTTTTGTTGTATAGAATCGGCACAAACTAGTGTACGTAAGCGCCTGTACGCTTGCAGCTCTGCCATTCTTTCCAAAGGAAATCTGTCAATTCTTTCTCCCTCAGAAAGTAATAATTTTAGTTTTTTTCTAGAAGCGCATCTCTATTTATTTATTTATTTTTTTCAACATTTCCCAGTGAGGTAAAGAAAATGTTACAGTGGATAATGAACACAGTGCTTGACGTTGGTTGTGCTGTAAATGTAGCCTGCCAGGGATCATGAAGCAAGATGGAAAGAAAAGAAATGGTCTAATTTATGTTTTTTTGACAGATATTTTAGTTGTTGTTGTTATGAGAAGAAAATGTATATGACTGACTTTTAAACTGCTACTTTTATACTTTTTCTACAGAGCTGAAAACCTTAACAGCACCCAGAAAAACGGCTTAATTTACTTAGTCTTTAAGATTTCAATGAAATCAAACCACAATTTGTATAGTATTCATGGTCAGCATTTTTTCTGTACTAAATATTCGATATTTCCACGCTTAATAGCAATTGTAAATATAAGTTCTATATTATAGTTTTTATTATACGAGGCAATGTCTGTCACTTCTCTTAAATCAAAACAGGTTGGAGAACATTTTGGCCAAATGCAATCTTTCCATGGAAACTTTCGGTTGGCAGTGTTTTAGTGAAACCATGAATATTTTTTTGTTTTATTATAAGACCAATGAGGCCACAAGTGCCACATTTTGTAGAAGTTAAAAGGAGTTCACCGAAGCAAATTACCATCAACATTCCGTAATCTTAATGGAAATCTTCACAGTGATGTTTTATGCTGTTCCAAATTCCAGATTTTGTTACTTCTACAGAATGTGCAACAGTTTTCTTTTTAACGAGCCGAAATGTTCACAGAAAAGGTTTTTTTTTTTTTTAAACCTGCATGATCTTATTATTCTCTCCAATGAACAACAACCGTGGCATAGTTCTATTCCTACCCACGGGTCAACAGTAAACATATAACAAACCTTCAAGCAACTTAAATGTGCCATCTTAACAGCTTTATTTATAACTCGTATTATCCTTCATGTCGTACGTTTTCATAGCAATAATGTCAGCAAACACATAAAATCTGTAATAAACACATTTGAAAACAAACAGCAAAGAGCCTTGTCATTGTTGTTCTTTAAACGTAAATGGGTTGTAATGTATATACACAGAGGCAGATTTCAGATTATTATTAATATTATTTAAATATAGCTATTAGAAAGTATACGTGTATACTTACAAATGGGAATACACATAGATTGATGCTACGAATAAGAGTATCTCCTCATCTTTACTGACCTGTGAAGAACTGAGGTGGCCCAACAATTGATACAGCAATATTATTAAGATCTTATTTATAGTAGAAATGATGCATGTCAGATGCAGCTGCACAGAGTTTCTAAACATTCACGCAATGAAAACGAGGCTGGAAATCAGAAGAGCCATGACGGGGATGAGGGGACCTTTTGTTTTGTGCTGTGCTGTGGAGGACACACTCCGGATAGAGGGTCCTCTTGGCCTAGGGGGTCTGAGGACCAGCCTGCATGGGTTGTGCACCTCCTCTAGGGGGATTTGGACCTCACTGGGGCGTTTCATACTCAAATGATCCCGGACCTGGGGCCAATATGGCGAGACAAGAGAAGGGACTTGATGAGCACTAATGTAATGACACAAACCGTAGACATTTTCCACCAAACAAAAAGCCTTATTTCCTTAACTACAGCCCAATCATTGATTATAAACCTTACAAGTTTTCACATACCCTCCATTCACCAGGGAAGGCTGTTCTTTAACATACAATAGAGAGGTTTTATAGCTCACCCGCTCCACTTCTTCAAAAACTCGCAGGAAGTTGTTTCGAAGGACATTCGCCAACTCATTCTCAGTCCAGTTCCTATGCAGCAATTCCTGGATTAGGGCGGGATACTTGGACACATCTTCTAACCCCTGAGGAAATCTGTAAACAAAAAACATTTCAATGGCCACCGTTCTGGATGAAATCTTCACGCCTGTTAGAAGTAAAACGTTATTGATTTTGAACCATTTTCTGCGCCTGTCGACAGCTCAGGCAGCCAAATTGCTGATATCAGGACAGGCTAACAAAAGCAAAGCATTGATCTTAAGACTGACGGACATAAACCTGTACGCAACTGGAACAAACTTTGTTTTATTCAGCTCGCTCTACAAGGTGTGTATCTGTCGATCCCCACTGATCCAAGTCGTACGGTGGATATGGAGACTGGCTGTCCCGTAGTTCGTCCCGTTGTCGCTGTGTTGCAGTAGAAAGTCAATATTTCTTACCTCACAGCACCTTCAAAATCCCCTCCGATTCCTATCGACTCGGCGCCAATCACCTTCTTAATGTGATCAAAATGATCTGCAAAACACGGGTTTGAAAAGTAAGTCACCTGAGACGTAAGAAATACAAACTACATTTTCCCCTCAGGTCAAAAAAACAAGACTCGGCAGGAATGGCTCACCGGCCACGCGAGAGATGTTTGCTACGTCGCTGCAGGATATGAAATTGCTGTGGAAATTCACCATGATCAACCCATGTTTCTTTTTCTGAAACACAAGACACAAAGTGTCACTGGAATTGTTAGAGAATAAGAAGAAATATCTAGAAGGATTAGCTAAAATAAGCTATCTTTGAAGTGTTCATTTTGTTTCACGTGCACCAGTTGTAGCATCAGATACATCAGGTAAACATCCTGTTATGCCGGTCTTATCTCAAACCCTTGGCTGTGGTAAATAACACAGAAATATCTTGCAAAATGAGAAACATGCCGGCTCAAGAGGGACCTGAGGGGCCAGAGTTGGGTCGGCGTCGGAAAGGAGCTGAATATTTGAACAGTTTTAATAGCTGAAAGTGTGAAGGAATTGAAAGGTGCAACAGAAGAAATAGAATAAGAAGAAGAAGAAGGCGGAATAAAGATTCGAAGAACAATACTTGGAATGCTTAATGCATTCCAACAAATATAAATGAATTAGTGACTGGATTTAATCAAGGAACTGAACCGTTATTAATCGTGCAGTGATTTGGGTTTTTCTCACCAGATCAAGCAGCAGCAAGTCAGGTACGTTGCGGCCATGGTTGCAGATGGAGAAGGAGGATGAATGGCTAAAAATAACTGGTGCCCTTGAATGCCTCAACGCGGCCCAGGCAGTGTCCCAAGAAGTGTGGGAGAGGTCCACCAACATTCCCAGTCTGTTCATCTCCTCCACGACGGCCTTAGGAAATCACATTGAAAAGCCATTTGTGATGGAACGACGGAAGTAGAATCAGCCGAGGCACACCACGCATGTAAACACTGAAAAAGATTGCAATCAAGGAAGTACTCAAATGCTGCAAGTATGACGGTCTTGTTGGGTTTCTCCCTTTAATTCAAACTGAATTCACGTTAAATGTTTGAATGCAAAAGACAAACAGGCTTTGTTAAATGTGGTAAAATAAACACTTCTCCCCAGTCATTGTTATTACTGATGCTGTAATATTACGCCTACCTTCCCAAAGTGTGTCAGGCTGTTGTTATGTCTTTGATAGACATGATACAGTTTTGAGGATGATTCTGCCCTGCATTCAAAAAAATAAGATTTCCATGTAAGCGTTGTCTTGTGAATCTCCCACTGCCATCAAATACATCCAAACGCTACAGTCAAATGTGACCTTCTAAATACAATGATGCAATCCGAATGGGTCTCTTTTTCTTACCAGGGTGTGTTGCAGGAATGCGTGAGCGTCATGGAGCGCACCCCGAGCTGGTAAAACATCCGCAGGGTCGGCAGGCTGCTGTCAATGGAGTGCCCCCCCTCAACACTTATTAGACAGGCAATCTTGTGTCTCCTCTCAGAATCCCTCAGCTCTGCAGGGACGGACACAAATTTGTTTCACATACCGTACGCACACCTTCCAAAGTGGACCTTTCCATTGCAGTCCTCACTTCGAGTAATGACGGAAAGATGATTTATTACTTTCCTGTGTCTCTTTGCAAATATGGACTGCTGTTTAAGACATGACAGACATGCTAGAAAAATTGATCGTAGATCAAAGAACGGTGGTTGTTGTTATGTCCATTTGCACTAAAAACAAAACTAGCCCACTCATTTTTATAGCTGTCGGTGGTCAGCTGTTAAACTGCTCGGCTGCCATGTTGAGGGTGTACTTTACCCTCGGCGGATGTGACCAGTTCAAAGTCCTTGTACTCGGTGCACATGCGTATGACCACATCTATTTGCTCCAGGGTCAGCCTGACGGCATCCTTTTCCTGGGCCCCACACAGCACGTAGACCGCAAACATCTGACAGGGAGGGGGGACGGGTACACAACACAAGAGAACCAGGCAGATATTTGAGTTACTGAAGTTAGCAGATGCTGTTATTCAAAGACTCCTCTCTGGGGAAAGCCTATTTTGTAGAACAGATCAGGGTCAGAAGGGAAAGACCTGATCTTTTTATTGTTGTTGTTGTTGTTGCCATACCTGTGCCTGCACATGGCCTGCTTGGAGTCGGTTGATGTCGGTGGCCACTTTGCTGATGTTGTGAAGGTCAACTTGACTCAGCCGATTGTTGTGCAGTATCCTGAGCTGGAGAGCCAGGTCGTTATGACTGACCGTTGGAAAGAAGAGAGGGCGTAAGAAATAACGTCAGAGATGGAGTTTCCATTCAAGCCATTAATGCATTTCCAGTATTTAGAAAGGATGTGCAGAGACAATTCGCATGATTTACCCGTCAATGACGGGATATTTGGACATCAAGTCCTCCGTCCTGTTTCTTTCAGAGTATCCAGATATAAAACAACAAAGAGAGGAGAGGACCACAAGATGTCCAAGGGGCTTCACCCAGAACCCTCTTGAAGCACTCATTACACATTTCCTGGAGAGCATATTCTGAGGAGAGAAGACACGTCATTGCCTAAACCTGTAGCACGCGAGCCTTGCATATTCTGGATTTAATTAATTTAGGCGGGGGAACTCCCTGCAGAGATACGAGCCTTTTTTGGAGTATTGCATAACAATGGCAGTGACAATTATGAACAAAACATGATGGCATCATCATTGAAAACGTCCTGTTTTACTTTGCTTAGTCTTACGTTACACCATGACTGCTGAGGTTTAAATCCCCCATGGACTGATGGGATCGCGTATTGTAAATTATTAGAACACAAATGCAGTGAGAAGTTTGGTACTTCTCACTCACTAGTACTAGTGAGACACACACTAAACGTTCTTGGCTTCTCAACACATTTGAAAGCTTATGTATGAGAAACTGGACAGTAGAAACAATGATGCACCCTCTTGTTCCAATACGAGTTTATGTAATCGTGGGAAACAATTACTTTTAAACCATGATGTACTTACCTAAAAGAAACTTGTTGACCACCTGCATTAACAACCGTATCTACAGGAGGAACTTTCCAGCTCTCCGCCCCAGTAAAATGAAGAAGAAACCTTTCAGAATGTGACTTATGTGCTGATGCATTCATATCCCGTCGGAAATTAAATTTATTAGCCAAATCCTACGTGTAAAATCAATAACCAAATGCTACCAGTAAAATGAATTGATTCCTTATCGGACTTTAACTTAGTTGCTACTTATTATACACTTGTATTTCTAAATCCTGTACGCTTCATTGGTTTTACGGCGAAGGTATTCTACGGTGGCTACACATTTGATGAATAATATATGAGAATTAACGAGGTGTTCATGAAGGCACCGCAGAGCCCCATGCCTTTCATGTTGCCACCTAGCGGACAAACATTGTAATCGCCCCTTAATTAGACTCCGGTCCGTTTAACTCATGCTCCCAACGTTTTAAAAACGTTTCAATGTTTGTAGTGATGTCTAATTTCGAGCTACCATGTTCATGTTTTGTGAAATTATTTCGTAAGGAAAAAACAACACTGAGCAAAGTTTCAAAAAGATTTCCGCCCCGATGCAATGCTCCAAAAAAACAAAACATGGCATTGGGACACCAAATGGAAGACACAAGTAAGTCTAAAGATATCAAGTGAACATTTGTGCACATTCATAACGGAACAACGATTGATATGGATGAATACATTAGTATTTGTACTATTATTATTCGGAAAATAACCCACATCTAATGTAGGCCATCGGGCCGATAGTTGCTCTGCCACATGTTACACGTCTGGAAACAACTTGAAAGTGATCAACTCCTTCTTTCTTTTTTTTTGCTAAGTACACCGATTCAACATGTCACAGCAGCAAAAGAAACAGCAATAGTACCCCAAACGCAAAACACAATGATTTGATGCCAAGACATGATTATTACTGAACCAGTGAAGCCTTGTTTTTTTGCACATCCTGAGCTGCTTGCAGGAAATGCATACATGTGACAGTGACCATGTTGTTTTTCCCACTTAAGTCCCTGCAAAGCCGAACCCTGAACAATTGCACAGCACTCACACAAGTCAGTGCATGTGTCTTGAAAGGTTGTTGACGTATTGATGTTTTTTAAATGTATGAAAGGACATTGTGTGTGTGTGTGTTTTAATACATTTCCCAGTCAGACACATCCACCAACGAAGATGTGTACGCTGGCACATTATTTGTATGACTTGGGTTGGTAAGCATTCAGTGGTAAAGGCTAGCTTAATGGTTTGGGTGGTGATTGAATTAGCTGTTAATGTGTTTGTGATAATTGTTTTTTTTTGCTGGAGTGGTGCTTAGGTTTTCCCCGGAGAGCGAAATGCTTTTGCCTGTGGTGTGTAAATAGCGTGTGCAGTGCGAGTGCATAATAACGTAATAATTGTTTAGGACCGCATGTTGTGCAAAGCCGGAGTGTCAACCATTTGGCATGTGCTACTTCATTTCCTAGTGTCTGATAAAGGGATGCTTGTTGCCACTGTAGCATCCAAAATGAACCATCTTCAGACATTAATCCATAGCGTGGAACTGGGGGATTCGGTATGCTCACATTGGCCAAATGGTGCATCCTTGCTTTCCATTAGCAGGACATTTTGTTATGTTCTTGTCTAATTCAGAACCACCTGAGGCATTAGGTGTACCTTTTATCCACTGTTGATACGTGGTCACTTTGTCCTGCCACATGTACATGTACCTGGTCCGATTACTTTGCTCGGCCTCAACACAATCCCTTCCCGTAAAAGCGACATCCGATACAGTCAAGTGCAGAATACATTTTGACCTCAAAGCAGAGGTCCAGACCACAGAACCCAATCTCTGCTTTTGCATCCTTTTCACGCTTGAAATGGTCTTTTTGCTTAATGACTCCGCGGCGGATTGTGCCCGTTCGAATGAGTCGGCGTTGATGGGGAACATTAGGGTGCTACAAAGGCATTTCAATTAACTTCAGTGGGAAGATGCAAATCCTAATTCCGTAATCCACCCACTGAGATCTGGCCTTGCAGTCTGTAATGGGGAAGGGGGGGAGGGGGTTCGGCCCTGATTGGAGCGCCCTACTGCTTCGATGGAGTAATCACAACTGTGTTGATATCACTACCGGTTCTCCCACTGCACGCAGATCATTTAGTCGAATTGTCGATCTGGGTGTGGAATGTGAATGGCAGCCAAAAAAAAAGAAAAAGAATTCCTTACTTTTGAACTCAGTTTGCACTGTTTGATGAGGGAGCTTAAGCCAAATTGTTGCTGTAGGCGGGGCTGCTGTTTTCTCTAATTTATCCATCTTTCTTTCTATTAACAATTAGGTCAAAAGTAGCGTATGGGTGGAGCGGATAGGTCGCTGTCTTCAGAAAAAAAGACAACTGCTCGAATAGGAGATGCCACCAGCCTCAGGGGTATTCTACCCATTGTATAAGTTGTGGAACTTTTTTTAACAATAATAGTTTCTAAAAAGTCCACGTTTGATGACTGCAGAATTACTTCAAATTCAACGTTTATGTTCATGTCCAACGTTTATTACTGTTAATTAAAATTGAGATAATGAAAAGGTTTTATGCATTGTACTGCAAACTGGGGCTGTTGATAACTTATATTTCCTGCAGATAACACTGTTTTCTATTAAATACCCTGCTTGTTGTTAACACTGCTAAACTTCCAACTGAAAACCACATTTCGTGAATCTTGGACACTTTTTGGAAATCTTTGATCCCAAAGTCTGTCTCGATAAATGCAAATAGCTAGCTAGATAAAGTTCTTCATCAGCAAGTACTTCAAGAAGGGACGATCTCTTGCAACAATCTTGTTGGATTTGCAACGACCACCATTGTAATGTTTGAATGAACACAACCCACAAACCACCCCTATGATAAGTCTCACCTTCCAACGCAGACCGGCCAATCGTATCGTAGCTTTGTCCAGCTCTGAGCAAGTCCCCCCACTAACCAGCTTTGCTCAATTCACTCTCATGAAATCTGTTTCTGAATTTTCTTTTCCTATTCTGTTTTCCATCTGCTCTCGTGGATTTGGAGCTGGATATGGTTTGGAGTTGTGTAGTAGTGGTAGTTATCACCTGGAGAGGCTCTTCTATTCAACACAAGTTACTGATACGCATGCTGCTGTTGCTTTTTTAATGATTTTAACAGTGAGTAAAGATTCTGCTTTACAGAAACAGGGTTCTTCTGTCCTGATCGCCATTTAATGTGATTTATTTTTCTGTAGACTTTAGCTTTTGTTTTTTCCCACTGTATCAGTTTGACATCCTGAACAATATCCCTTTAAAGTTAAAATTATACCCTTCTGTCTGCTCCTCTATAATATTGTATCCTGTATTTAGTGAGTCTAATTAGAGACCATTTGGGCTTCATGGCATACCTGTGACAGCTTACCAGATTACCAGCAGATGGTTATGACCTATTCATCTTGAAGTAGCAGTTAAAACAACAAATCAACAATTCCTGCTGTTTTTTTTATAACTCTTGAATAAAACCATGAACTGCGGTCTTTTGCTACGCAGAGAGCTGCTATCCTGTTGCTGTTCCAAAAGTAAGCTGCTTAAGAAAACTACTGTGCTTTCTATTCAATGATTATATTGATCGCACTTTCCAATTACACAGATAAGACCGGGAGGCAGCGGCTGTTCATCACTCTATCAGTACTGAGTAGAGGACTAAAGGATGTTAATATGCAACCCGAGTGCACTGCTCCTCGTACTTGGTTGTTTTTCACCTCTGAACAGTGACAGTATATTAGAACAGTCCCCGTTTTAATAGCAGCATCAATGCACCCCCCCCCCCCCCCCCCCACACACATTGTACAGCAGTGTGGGTGTCTTCACCTTCTTACCTTTATTTCACAAATACGGGCTGACAATAAGTGCAGCTTCTCTGGTTTCTCATCAGTGCCTTTCAGCGTGAACTCTCTATTCTTATTGTGAGAGCTCCTTTGCACGTTTAAGCTAATTGAATCGGAAGTCCTCATTATTGCGAGGCGGAAGGAATAATGATAAAAAGGTGGAATGGATTCTTGTTTCAATGAAAGACGGAGAAAAAGCAGCATTTCAGCGGGCTGGCTGATGAGATGAGCCATTAACCATGAAGAGAAACACTGCTCCTTTTTGCTTTTAATAAATGATGTGTGGTAATGGTAAATGATTAGAGGCAGATTATTTATTCTGTGACCGTGATGTACAAACCCTCTAGTGCGCAGAACCATACATATCAGATACACCAACAACTGCATCCCTGAAGAAAGAAACTATGTTTTTCTGCTCCTGACTTTGAACTTATTCCTCCACCAGAGGGCAGCAATTGTCAGAATAAACCTTTTGTGAATGTTCTTCCTTTTTCTTCGCTGTTAGAAACTGACCCGTGTAAAAAAACTAACAGATGCATATAATTAGATGCATACACTTGTGCGTAATTCATTTAAAGAACATCCTAAACGCAAACATACGTTTACCTCAGTTTTCCTTTTAAACGGAAACCGCACAAAATGTTTAATTGTATACAATTTGTATACAAATTGTATGTTAGTAACCACTAAGTCACAGGTTTTACTTTTTCTTCTCTTTCAGAGCATGTATTTCTTATTGATCATTTAGGGTAAATACGTGTTCCTTCATTTTCGATCAGGTCCTCTGAAAGAATGCTGAAGACATTTTGGTTCCCTGAACTTCTCATTTCTTTTGCCCTGGATTCTGGCAGCCCCGTCGTCAGTGTTCATTATCTGCTCTTACAGCTTTGACTTCAGCACAGCAATTACATCCTCAGCTGCGCTGATTAATCCAACATGGAGGCATTTCACCAAATGATTTTGAAAAGACGTTTCCAGACACTTACCAGGGAGTAGCTGTGGCACGGCTTGTTTGTGCAGATAGACCGCAGCCAGTCGTATTGCAATAAGATGTTTTCAATAGCTGCTTAAGTGTTCTCTAAACCTCTAGTGTACGCTGTGCAGGAAACAACAGACCGTTTGGGAAAGTGATTAATTCCGGCTGTTTTTTTTTTCTCCCTACATAAAATGGAGGTCTGCCTGATGTCATGTTTTGGGTAACGTACTGTTCTCCTTTGTCCAACATATTCCCCCTATGGCCGTTCGTTTAATACGTCTCCACTGCTCAACCTTCCCGTTCGCTCTCTGACAATCGCATAATCAATCACTGTCCCATTACGTGACACGGCAGACAAAGAGAGCGTATGAGTGAGAAAAACCTTTCGGCCCGTCTCGACGAGCCGGAGGGACGTCGACTTCAGAGGGCTAACACAGGCGGAAAACATAGGCCCAGTAAATATTCAATTTAAAGGATTTCCGAGATAAGGCGAGTTGAAAAATTGAGGCAGCACCCATTCTTCTAGATAAGAGAAGACGGAGCCATCTGGAGGCTGGGAGATAGCGAACTCCCACACCATCCCGGAGACCTCGCTCTCATCTGCTGCAGCGGCAGAGAAGGCGAAAAAATAGAGTGCCAACACTTTCATTATGTTAACTTCAAAATGAATTTATTCACATCCAGCGCATGGAGTTATTTGCTTTGGTAAACAGAACGTTACAGCTGAGCCCGCCACGATAGATAACAATGTGTTGGTCAGTCTTAACATAATGCTGTGATGACGGAATACCTTTTGACTATTTAATGAATAGTCAGGTTAATATACGTTTTTTTTTTTCTTCTCCGCATTGCCATTTTGATGTAATCATAGAATGTAAGTCCAATTTGTCCTCAACCAATGTCATCCATTCAAGCTCCGATAACAGTTGAGAGAAAAATAACTATTCTTTAACATACTTGGTTGGGAAAAATGGGTCTCCAGAGTCACACCCACCCCAAATGATCTTTAAGTATATCTTCTTCATGGTTGAAAGCATGGGGAATGTCTTCCCTCTTTTTTAATGTTTGACACATTCAGTTTAAATATATATATATATATATATATATATATATATATATATATATATATATATATATATATATATATATATATATATAAAAACCCAACTGAAATGGTGGATATTAGGCACAGGCCTGTATTGTCTTTAAATCCACCATGACCGCATCTTTAAAAAGACACGATATTTGCAAAATGGAACCTGACCTTGTCCACATCTTATAATGCACTTTGTTGACTCCTCCACCGTGCTATTTCGTGGCAGCCACATCGGATTTAGCTGTGGAATAATGCATTTGTCACTATGTTTTATCTGTTCTCTCACTCAGGTACGCTGCGCTGTTATTCCTAATTACCCCCGCCGCGTTTTACACTTGGCCCAGAATTCTTAATGCTTGATAACAGATGCGGGTCGATTTGAAATTTACTCATAGTGGCATTATCTTTTTGACCCGCATTGCAAGCCGACTGTCCCAAAGGCTCTCGCGTGAAAGCTGTTAACTCCGTGATAACGGCGACCTGAAGTGATAACCTTCCAGCAGTCTCGAGGACACACAGTTTGCGACGCTGCGCTGTATTGCAGCCGCAGCGTTTCTTATTCAACCTTGGGCGCTCTGCTGTGCTCTGATTCACTTAATGGGATCGAGAGGGAGGTTAATCACTATGTTCGCCATAAACTCTTCAAATGCTGGCTGACCATTATTCTAAATATTACGGTTTGTTTCCTTTTTAAAAGTGAATTTGAACAATAACTTGTGACTTTTTTTCCCTCCTTTTTTAAGTTGTAACGGAATTGTTGGGACTCTCTTTGATTAATTTACTTTAGGAGCCCGGCATCTGGAGTTTGGAGATTTTCATTAAGATCAACATAAAAGCTACAGACGAGGTTCCACTTATCTTAAGTTATTATCCCCAGAAGACATGGTTGATTAAGTGGAAAGAGCTCTTTTAAGTTTTTGAATGAAATAACTCCCTGAAAGGTTTATATTTGTTTTTCTTCGGGAAAACCTAAAAAACCCTGTATAGAACAAGTTCTTATGTTTAGAAATCTTTAATCCAAAAAATTCAATTCATATTCTGGCAGCTGTCTTTTTTTTGCATTATGTTTTAGTAGGATTTTGATCCAATTTCCGTAGATGTCTGCGGCATCCAGTTAAGCTTCGCCCATCAATCAGCGTCTAAAATTATATTTAAATGGTGTGGAAATACCGAGGCATGAACGTCAACGGTAGAACTTAGGCTGTAGGCTTTCATCAATGTCAGTCAACTTCAAGTGCGTAATGTTAACGTGAAAGCGTTGCTCTTTTTGGACCACGTACCAATTTGTTCGAGCAAAGCGTAGAACATGGCCCAGTGGAGGCAGCTGGATGGATACGGTGGGTGGGTTGGCCTATGGGCGTGTTGTGTAGCTTGTTGCCTTGGTTTTCATATTTTACAGGAACAGTGCAGTGTGAGGCTCTGTCAAGCCCGGCTTTAATCCCCTTCTCCACTGTGTTGTCTGATGTTATGTTGTTATCTTAATGATAATCAGTGCCTGTATTTCTGCCCTCGGCATTCCTGTCAGGCTGGGTTGCTTTAGGAGCTGTGCCTTATCAACAGCTTTGTCATTAAATCAGCTTTTTCTAACAGAAGAAATTTCACCGCTGTTGTTCTTATCAACTGATCAGCACGCTGCGATTTTCCGTTCAATCAGAGCTTTGCAAATTCAATGATGCGTGAGTAAGAAAGATGAAACAAAATTTCCATTGGAAGAAAAACCCAATTTATTTAATTTTGTTTTCATGACTTAATAATCCGACAAATGGTATGTATTGGATTTGTCATACATCAATGGCTTTCAACTGTTTTTATTTTATACTCTTGGGTCTACTTTGTGCATTTTTAGAGGCTACACTTACAGAGTATAGAGGATAAGAAATGATTGCAACATGACGCGAATAATCAATTTCATCCACGGGCCGTAGATAGTTTACTGCAAGCGGCAATATGGAACCTCTGCAATTCATGGCTTTTCTTTAGTGTCAAATGGGATGTGAATCAGCTAAAAATTTTATAGCACACATCGCAATCACGTGGACGTGAGCGATCAAGTCGGACGGTCCCAGAAACACATCTGTTAAATGCTGTCTGTACAGAGGCGAGCTTTGCGGTCCCAGTCCAACTGACCTCTGGAGGCTGAAAGTGGAACTCGGGTTCTTCTGAGAAAGCACGGTTCTGTCTGAGTGAGTGTTCTGATTGTCTCAGCATTGTGCTTGAGTGGAGAGGGGGCAGCGTCAAATGAACCCCCCTCCCGATTCAATCCTCTCCGCCGCTCGACACCGGTCCGGCCAGTCAGAGAGGCGGGTGGACTGACACTCCCTCTCCCGAACACGCTCTCTTACAGTGAGGGAAACCGCCGCACGGCAAAGGTCCAGGGGGTCTCTTGTATGCCGTTGGCGTGGCAGGTTCGATCCCCTCTTTCTCGTCCCACAAGGCGCTGAGAGTTTCCGGGGGCTGATAGCCCGGTTCCCGGGGATCCAGCGGGTCTTTGGAGAGAAGGATGCTGATGGAGGGCACAGTCCGGTGCACCGTCATCTCGGACGCCCCCCCTTCGCTGCTCTCCCACACCTCTTTCACCACCTTGTAGCGCAGCTTGGTCAGCTGGTGCAGAGAGCCCACTTTGCGCTTCATGATCTCGGCACAAGTGATGGTCTTCGTGACCGCGCGGCCCGACCCCGTGAAGACCACCTGCCTGAGCCCACCGACAACACCACCAACACCACCACCACCACTCGCACCTCCCTCACCAACAGCCTTCTCCGTCTGCATCCGCGCCATGGCGAATCCCATTAAGTTGCGGATCTTACTCCCCTCCTTCACACGCATCTCCAGCACCCCAGAGGCCAGTCCTGGAAAGGGACAGGGGCTGTCCTCCTCAGTTCGGCAGACTTTCTTAAACCCTTCCTGCCCTAGTTTGAGTGCAGGGGGCGGGGCTGGCAGTGGCGTCGGCTTCAGCGGGAAGGAAAGGTTGCTGACCACCGTCGGCTGGCAAGCACCGCTGTGCGTTTGATCGTGGTAGACGGGGCATGTCCCCTGGCTCAGCCCATTGTCCATTTGCATAGGTCTGTTCACCTCTAGTCCGGGATGGGACCTGACCGGGTCTCTGGCCAGGTACTGGTTCTGGCTGCTCACCACTCCACACCCTGGGAACATTTTCCTTTTTAGTCTTCAACGCGCCACCGCAATGTTAGTCCAGACGTACACTTTTACCAGATGCGGCGTTGCTCAACATAATTTTCTTCTGCGTGTGGCACTTTTCTCTCCCTCCAGTCAACAGCTCTAAAGTTTCCAGACTTCACATAAGAAATATCACCCGTTCCCCCAAGAGTGCTATCAATGAAGTCTTTAATGGTGCCTCCCAGGAAGAGCTGGAGAAATAAGATAAACGTCTGGCTGATGAATTAAAAGCGCTGTCTGGACCGTGCAAGATATTCTTTAAAGAGCATCTCAATTTCATACCACAAATGACTATTTTGAGTGCTCCGGTGATTTAAATCACTCGGTTCCTCCTCATTTAAATGATGAATATAAATGTTCCTCCTTGTGCCGTTTGTATTTCAGTCGGTACTTTTGTCCTTAATAGCCGTAAACAATATGGAGTTCTTTGCTGATTCTTCTTTGTCAAAACTTTTCTGAAGAAATTCTAAAAGCTCAAATCAAGACTCCACCTTTTTCTTTCGCCATCCCGTCCGTCGCTGTTGATTTTTGATCGGCTGAAACTGTCCCCTTTAACTCGAAATTCACCTCTTGGCTTGTCCAGCTGATAAGTTCCACCTCCTTGTTTTGGATCTCTTGGTGTTCTTACTCCGGATGGAGTAGGTCTGAGCCTCCTCTCCCTCTGCTCATCTCAGCATCCACAGTAGTTGAGGCCGGGGGTTGCATGGAGGTCCGCCCCCAAGGGTGTCCTCCCTTGAGCTCTGCCTTGTCTTCAGTGGTGCTCTGGGAAGCCTGTTCTGTTCCCCACAAAGAGACATAAGGGACAGGAGCTGCCTCACAAATGCTCACAGGAGGAGTGTCTGCGTGGTTGAGGGGGAGCATGAGGGAAAGGGGAGACAGCCCTCTTAAAGGCGCAGGTCTTTTCATCTTTTAGATGAACACACGCTTCCCCTCCACAACTGAAGCCTGCCATCTGAGGGGAAAGTAGAAGGGCAGGGCTACTTTGTCCCTTTAAAAAAAAAAAACAAGAACGCAGATCCCCGGCAACTTTGTCAATCTCTTTAGAGGACGTTCCAGTGTGCAATGTACATGACTGATTACACTTGAGTTCTGAAATAGAGACTCAGTCAACCTTTAAAAATGCATTTTCAGCTACGAAACAATGAATTAAATTAGCTGGGCTATAATTGAAAACATCCTTCAAAGAGCCATTGAAAGTCAGCAGCATTAAATTGCACTGTACTTTGCCTTTATCCCATTAGATGTTTGTGACCATTACAATTTACATAATGCAGCATTAATAGCTTCATTGTTGAGGCGATCAAGTGGCGCGCTAAGAATGCCTCTTTTTAACGCTTGAACTGCTATATTGTCACAAAGCTGGAGAGCCCGTTCTCATCAGGGACACTACGACCACAAAAAAAACAAAAAAAAAACTTAGAGGCATGACTTCCATGTTCTAGGTGCTGTATTAATAGTGACTGTCTTCATTAGACCGGTGTATCTGTGCAGGTGAGGAGATGGAGCTGACAGGTGGGGTAATAAGCACCTTAATGGGCTTTCCATCACCAGTGGAGGGCGCTGGCTCGCCCCCTTCTGCACCCAGGCGGGTCCAGACAGCTGTAGCATCGGCCTGTTAAGCCCGGTCTCCTGGTCGACAGGTGGATTTGTTTTTGTGTGTGACTGGCAGATGGGGGAATAGGTAAAGACAGCCCACTGAGGCCGAACCTACGAGGCCGAGAGGGAGGCAGACAGACCCCACCATGGTGCACGGGGAGTATACTGAGTGTAAACTTACCGTGGCTCAGCCCAGTCCTCACCGTGAGGCTAATTCACAGTGGCATGTGCATTATATCGGATCCCTATGGTGATCGAGGAAAAAATAAGGGAAAGCCTCCCCCACCCGGAGCTCCAACCAGCAACTGGACGCTGGATGTCTTTGTATCTGCAGAAGTTGAATCAGAATCATCGTTGAGGAATCAATTGGTCGATTTTTGATTCACGGAATGATTCACTTTCTTCTTTTTTTCTCTAATCCGTTTACACGGGGTCGGAGAGCTATTTATCTCGGGAGCCATTCCAGACTCTGCAGGAGACTAGTGACAAATACGTCTCTTTTTTTGTTAGCTAAAAGAAAACAGGAGAGAGGAGAGACGGGGAGAGGAGGGGAGGGTCTGTCGGGCTCGCCACCAAAGTGATCATTCTGTTGTTTGGGAGAAATTACCCTCATCAGTCATACAGAGATGCACAGCTGCCTAAGGGGATCTGGTAATGTTACTGCATAATAAGCTGTGTGTGTGTGTGTGTGTGTGTGTTAAAGTCGGAGCGAGAAGGGAAGAAAAGAAATGCAAGAGGGCAGGGGGTTAAAGAAGTCTGATTTAACCACAGATAGGTTTCAATTGATGATTAAAAACAGCGCTATAATCATCCTTTTCCTGCTACATGATGTTGGCACATCATTTATTGCTCCTCGGTTTAACTTTAGGGACCTGTTTGCCGGCAGGAATGTGATAGATTTAAAAAAAAAAAAATCCCACTTCTGAGTAAAAACACACGTCTTCTTGCGTCTCCGTCAAAGACGAACCCTTCCCCAGCTGGCTAAACGAAACCATCCGTGCTTTGCAGAAGTGTTTTATCCCCACCTTTTTTTTTTTTTTTTTTTGAGTGGTCGCTTTTTTCCCTTAAGTGGCTTCATTTAACGATGGGTGGAGGCGGCGAAGGCTCGCCGTTGGTCACTCACTCCTTTGCACCGCCTCCACGGAGCCGGCCTCTGCTCCTGTGGCTCCACAAGCACTTTCTCCTCGCTTTATCTGACCTTGGCCGGCTTCTGTAACAGCGTTGGCATTCCGCCCCTCACTCCTCACTTCCCCGTCTCCCCGCCCTCGGCTCTCACTTCTTGTGCCGAAGAAGAAAAAAAAAAAGTCTTCCCAAACAGTGACATATAGTAGAGGTTGTGTCTTACTCATTCCCCGCTTTTGCTATGTGCTACACATCTCTGAAGTGGTTGTTGTCACGAATTGTAGGGTTGCCCCTTTGTCGTTTGTTGCAGCACTGCAGAGTCGAGTTGCGGCAGGGCTTGTTGTGCTGTTTGCGAGGGCTGCGCGTCGGCGGCGCAGTGCCTCACTGAGACAGCCGGTCGCTCACTTTACGTTAACCGCGAGTGTTTTCACGGTCATCAACCAATGGCGGCCTGCAGGCTGTCATTTTCGCTCTGTGTGGTGCTCGCCCCGCGGCTCAGTTCTGCCCCACAAACTCGCAGCCGGCCCTGGTGGGGGGACATAGCAACACACACACACACACACACACACGTGCATGTGCACATATTCACAGACACGCACGTGCACACACACGCGCGCGCACAAAGAAAAACTATATGCTCAGCATAAGGCAGGCTGTTGGAGCAATTACAGAAACATGGCAGAACACGATGAAGCAAGCGCCACTATCAGAAGGGAAATAGAGTGAGCAGAGGGAAATGATGACGCCGTATAACGCGAGCTCGCAGGAGTGGGGGGGGGGGGTTGTATACCCTCTCTGTGATTTCTTGTGGACGCACACCTGAGGGCAAATGGTTGCGATTTCGTTCAAACTTTGGACGTTGACCCTAGCCAATGTTTTCTTTTCTTCTGTCAAAGCCAGCGAATAAAATGTAGAGCAACTGCAGCTGCTCCCACGAAACGACCGCTCGAATCGATGTTGTCCCTGTCACTCAGAATCCATAAGTTTCGAAAAATGTCGGGTCACCCTCGCTCATGGTCGTTGTGTCATTTTCTATCTCTGTCTTGAGCAATTGGCACAAACTTCCCCCTTCCCCCCCCCCCCCCCCACAGCTGCTGCTTTCCCCTTAAGCACTGCAATGCAGATGTGTCTCACACAGTGGCAGGAAACTTTCACTGAAGATGCTCGTGAAAGAGCAACTGGAGAGACAGAGAGAGAGGAGGGAAGGGCATGAAAGAGATGCAGTGGGAATACATGCCATACTGCCAGAAGTGACAATAGGAAGACGGGAAAAAAAAGTTTTTCGTACTTGTGGAAGCATATGGTGGAGAAAAAAAACCCCGACATGGCAACGCTTGATTCATGAGGCAATGAAAGTGAAATCTTTAGCTTCTTCCCCTGAACAGCTTTACAGATCTAACTCACTGCCTCACAAATGATGTGTTTGGAAGCCCCAGCGTGATTTTAAAAAGGGGGCATTCTTTTGGTTCAACATTAACATTGAATTGGGTGGAGCCGGACCCTGTTGATCCACGCTGTTCGGTTTATTATTGCACGCACTTTGATTAACTGTGGTTGCGCTCATTTTAATTGGCAGCAGCAATTGATAATCACATTTTTGTCTTTTGTCTTTTTACTTTTGGCCTCGGGCTAAAAGTTAATGGAATTTCACAAACAGTTTTGGAACAATTACATCAGGACTTAATTTTCCATGTTAACACAAATGGGAAAAAGTAAATGAAAGCCTCTCAACAAGTATTCACTAATTCACTGGCTTTCAATTTTGGAATGGAATGCTATTTACTGTATATTTGTACACAAACAAATAGAGTTGTGTCACAAAAATAATGGATGAATATATTAGCATCCAAGACAACTTAAACAGAACTGATGTTCTTAGTAATGCCATGTGGTCGATGCGCTAAGGCAGCAGTGCATTTGATGATGTCTGATGAATGTAAAGTATACAGTACACTAGTGATTCTATTTTGCATTTAATACCCCTTTACTACGAACGGCTTCTTTTTATTTTTGGTACGTGTCCGACCTTCCAGGCTGCAATTTACTACTTACTACTTTTTTGCACTCAATGTGCATATCATTTTGTATAATTTCTACAGTAGTTTTCATCTTTCTGCTGTTTTTTCTTGTAATATTTAAATTGCCTGCACACCCTCGAGGGAGTCAACGTCAACAATGCAGGTGTATACTCCAGTGTTGCTGCCCATAATTTGATCTCATTGATAGAAGCCTCCCGTTAACGCTTTGCTCTGCTACAGCCTTATCAGACTAGTATTTGTAAAAGCAAACTGAACATTTTCTGATGCTGCTGCATTTTGGGATTAGTTCCCAACGTTAGCAGTACTTCTGTTCACTGAAAGTGCATCTACTAGGGGTGTAACGATTCATTCACTGAATCGATTAATCGATTTATATTCCTGCGATCCAACTGAATCGATCTGTGCTCCGCAAATCGGCATTCCGGACGACATATCGATTACAAATCGATTGAAATGGTACATAATCGATTTGTATTGATACTTGGAAACTGCACATTGGATTTAAGTACAAAGACGGTATGGATGTGTGTTTGTTTGTTTGTTTTTTAGCACTTTAGACACGTTAAACGTTACTGGATTCAGTCTGCCTGTCTGTGACGTCATCAGTACGCAGCGGCAGCCGCGCGAAACTCTGAACAACAACAAAACACAGCGTGGAGGAGACGACTGCGAGCGAGACATTTACAAACCAACTTATCGATCCAGCGCGTGGAAACATTTTGGCTTTTGCAAACACGGAGGTGTTCTAAATAAGTCGGTCGCTGTTTGTAGAATATGTAGAAGCCAAATAAAAAAACCACAGAAACACAACGAATCTTTCCGGCCATCTACTAAGGCGCCGTGGGATTAAACAACGCCGACAGTCAGGACCTCAAGCAGCGTCACCGCTGCAGCAGCAGCAGAAAGTAACTCCAGCTCTGCAGACACCTCAGGCCTCGCCAGCACCAAACTCACCATCACAGTAACAATTGCCAAGTTTATCTGTAAAGACATGCAACCCTACTATGTGGTTGAAAATCCGGGGTTCTGTGAATTGATCTAAACATTGTGTAATTATTGTGTTATGTTTACATTGAAAATGGCACTTGATTCGAATAAAAGGTTAATACATTTGCCATTATTGTTGTTTGCTTGTTTATAATATCCATAATTAATTTAAACCTGATT